AGTCGCTGACCCCTTGTGTTGTTCACCAAAGCCCTGAGCTCTGCCTGCAGGTCAGTGTGTGGGACTAGTGGGGTTGAGGGGGTGGCAGTGTATGCCAGGGAGGTCAAAGGGCACAACTGTCCTGCAGGGAAACTGGTGCCTTGTGACTTTGACTGCTGAATTGCCAGAGCCTGCTGTCCCAGTAGGAGTCAGGTTATCTGGAGCTCACGTACATCTGTTTGTTACCGGAGGAGAACCTTTCCTTTGCTTCTCCCCTTAGCTGGCCAGATGCTGCTTTCTGAACTCCACCTGAAACCAGGCTGATGTACAGGCAGGGTCGTGATGATTTCCTGCATAGCTGAAAATTAGAGTTAATGGTTTGGGAAGACCTACATTGAATTATTAGCTCCAATGAGGAGAATGGCATATAAGTTAATGTTGTAAAACTACATATACAGGATGGAGTGTTTGCAGTTCTTGGGGAAAGCTGCCACACATGGACTGAATCATTAAAATGCCATTGCCCTTTTGTACTGTGAGCTGGCTCCTAATGCAGAGCTCAAACTACAGACTCAGGATCACTTTCTTAAAAAAAATAGGTCTTGTTGAATCACTCCAAATAGCTGTCTTTTTCCCAGTTAGTTATTTTGATTCTATTTTTTATCGAGGAACAAACCCAAGAATATATAGTAAGAATAAATCTTTTCTCACATCAAACAATTCTTAGGAGACCATGCCTTGTGTTTCATTAGACATGAGCCTTAACAATAGAGCTGTCTTTGCTCCATTGAACAGCTGCATTTGCAAAAAGCAGCTCTTGTACCATTGTGATTGTAATGTAATTCCTTTTCTTCTGATTCTCCTTCAGATGCTGTCAAGATAGACTCCAGTGCACTCAATTAGGAAGAAAATGATGTCAACTGAGATGCTTCTCTGCCTGGTCACTGTTATTTTGAAGCTGCAAAAGAGGAGTGTTGTAGAGATCTTTGTTTGCTGGTAGAAGAGGATAATCATGGTGATGAGATGAGGTACAAGAAAAGGAGGAAAGAATAACAGCAGGTGTCTGAAATTGTAGTTGCAAAGATGGATAGAAGGTCTGATGCTGGGGCAGAAGATGAAGGATTCAAGACATGTGAAACACCAAAGCTCTCAGGTGATGGAGATGGAGATACACAGCTTTTAATACACCTTGGAAAACAGACTCAGAAGGGACACCTGCAAAGTGATGCCTCTTCCAACACTGGTGTTCCTTTGCTAGTGAATTTATACACTTCATTCTGTCATGACCTTTCGGATAATTTTTCCTATACACCATTCCTCATGGCTTCATCTTGTTTGTGTAACTTGTTTATGGAGTCAGAATTTCTCTGCACGTGTCTGATGCCCTTCTTCCCTCACACATTGATTTCTGCTGTAGAAAGCATGTCATCTTTGCTGATACCATTAGCCATGTGATGATGGAGAAAAATGAAAGAACGCTGTCACCGTTCGGATGTTCTGCTGTACCTCAAGTTGTTTTGAATCAGTTTAGCAATTAACAAGGGGTCCTGTTGGAATTTGTTGTGCTCAAAATGGACTGATGTGGCTTGACAACTGAAGGGGATGTGCTTCCTCAGTTAAGGGAACTGTTCCAGACCAGCGTTCTCCCAGGTACTCCATGTATCATCTAGTCAGTTGTCTGTGCCTTTCACGGAGCAAAAGACATGAGAAAAGCTGCTTCAGTGACTACGGAGCTCTCAGGAAGCTCTCGCTGACAAAGATATTTCTACCTGACATGTAATTATATAGCTCTTCAAATTGGTGCCAAACCAGTTGTCACTTGCCACTCAAGATGACACTTCTTATTCTAAGCATTGCTTCTTGGAAGATGTAGAGCATTCATAATTTCTGATCTCTTCTGATGCCTACAGAGGATAAAGTTAAGACCTTTCTACAGTTCAAGTCTTTACTGTATGTTTTTTTGCACATGTTCAGTGGTGCAGTGTAATACTGCTACCTTTCTGAGACATCAGCAGAAATGTTAGTAAAAATCCAACTTTTGCATCCTCAGTGAGTTGTTGCTGAAATGTGCATCCAAGATGTTTGTATTTGATTTAATTTACGGGATTTTTAGTTGATCAAGGTAGCAAAACATACTCAGGGTTACCAAATATCAGGAGAAATGCATGAGAATAGAAGAAAAAACCTTTTTAAGGAGTGCTTCCACTACAAGAGCACTCATCCAGGCAAAGGGTACGTAAAATACTTCCTCCTGAAGTGTTTTAGTGATAAGCAGTTGCTTGTCAGCAGTATTCTAGTCATTGGGGGAAAATAAACAAAAGATATGTTGAGTAAAAATAAGTGTTGCAGCACTAGTGAAGACTTTTGAAGGTACAGAATTGACAAAAATTCTTCCCTCCTCACCAGAATAACTTCCTCTGTTGCCAAGTCGTTTCTACTAATAACCCATTAATTGAACAGTTTAGAGACATACTTAAGATCAGTAAACTTTTATCCTCTCTGATAATCCTTTTGAAGATGGCTTGGCTTGTCATCTCATTACAGTTTCTTCCATTTTATTGTCAATATGATATGGTAAATCCCATGCTTTTTTCCTTTTAGACGCTTTTTCTACAAGCACTTCAGCTGCCACCAGGGCAGCCTGGCAGTGTGCTCAGCAGTGAAGCACAGTTGCTCTTTAGCAGGAGTTGTTTCTTGGGCCATACTGTGATTTCTTGCCAATAGATGGGTAGTCTTGCCCAGTTACGAAAATACTATCTCTAGCGATCGGTAGATACTTAATTTTTATTTCAGTTTGTTACATGGCTTTAGAATTATTTCTTCTTGTTATGCCCTTTCCCGAAGGTGCTCAAGCTTCTACTGCTCCTGATGGGACTCAGTTCACTGTTGTTCTCTCCACAGCCTTTCACACATAGGATTTATCTGGTGTGTTCTGTATTTAGCCCAACTGAGAACTGATTGTGTTGATTGGTAATGATGATTTAGGAGCATTAAGCCAGTGTTTGTGTAACATGTGAAGTTGCTTTAAGAAGTCTTTGGAAAGTCTTTTTCATCCTGAATTGGAATTTTTCAGTTTACAAGCAACCTAAGTTAGGCTTTTTCTCATGGCCACTGAGGAAGAGATGACTGAAAACGGTTGCTAAGGACGTGTGGTTTATTATCAATTGGATTGTTAAATTCTCTGTGTCTACCTTTCTTATCTGTTATCAACCACCTCTTTCTAATGCAGAACGAGCTACTGAGTGTCAGTCTAGACTGGGATTTGGTTCATCTTGTGACCAGCCTTGGAGTTGTGTTGGACCTGTGGGAGACCAAGCCTCTGTATAACCTGAAGCTGTTTGATCTGCAGTCCTTTACTCAGAGTTTGGTCTAGGTTCCTCCCGCCTCCCATGAGGCTTGTGGAAATGTGTAGAGATTGAAAGGAATGGTTTGAGAAAGTTTTATATAAAATAAGTTTTTGCTAAGGGTTATAAAGGGATGTCAGCTATAGGTATCTTTGTATTATTCATTAAGCACATTCTTCTTTTTCACTGGTTTGACTCTTTCTGCCAGTTTAGATCTATGGTTGCCTAATTTTTAAGCTCTTGCCATTCCTAATAGAAATTATTTGCTTTCGTTGATTTTAAAGGAAGAGGACAAAAAAAAAGGGGGAAAAAAAAGCCAAGTGGTCATATAATAGGATTTTCCTTCAGGATTTTCATTAAATTGTTCTTCTTTGCTTTTATTCTTGAACAGATTCTGGAAAGCTGTTCAAAAAATTCTGGCTCTGTTTCACTTTAAATAAAGAGAATCCTGGTCATCTCTCTTTTGAGAATTAGGAAAGATTGAGAAAAGTGGCATTCAAAAAAGTGAGCACATTGAGTTGAATGAAAACAGCCATGGTGGCGGGGATTTGTACCTGGTGTAGATTGTATTTGCCCATTAGAATTTGTCAGCGTATTCTGAAGAATTGAAGCTGTTTTTAGAAGTTCTTAAAGTGTTTTTTTAGTAATTTCCATTATCATAAGATAGACATTTTGGTGTGTGTGTAGGAGGGAAGGGGTGGGTTCTGTCATTATTTAAGGGAGAGGTTAAACGTTTGGATAAGAATCTGATCTAAACATCGCACTTCAGAAGTTGTTAGTCTGTTTTTATCGTGTATAATCCTAACATAGGACTGAAGGATCTGGTGGGATTCAAGCCATGCTCCTGCTTTTCAAGGGTGATAAGGCAGGGTGGCCCAGAGGTTTTAATTTAAAATCTGACTTTATGAGAAAGATGGAAAGCCCCTGGTAATTTGATCTTTTCCTTTTTTTTTTTTTTAAACTAGTCACGTGATGGTGTATGCTAACAGATGTTCCCATTTCTTGTCTCCTCGTACTAAATCTTGCATCTTACCCGGTCTTGCATCATCTCTTAGATAATGGACTTCTCGGGTCTTACACTGAGTACCCTCAAATAACACTGTTTCATTCTCAGTCTGAGCCTTTGGGTACTACAGTAGTGCAGATACTGAAATTACACGTTTCTGTGATAATTGTGCACCAAACTATCCTGTAATTTTCCTTGTTAGTCTAGTTGTTTTCTTTGTGCACTTGTATGACTTTGAACCCTAAGTGATACTAAATGTCACGTAGCATTGAAGTTTATTTACTATCTACCTACCATAGATAAGCTATGCTGGCAAGCCAGTGACAACTTGTAATATTTTCTTCTGCTGAGGTGGATGTTTTATTAAAGTAGGGCTTGTTAGTGCCAGAAGACAGTGGCCTTTGAGAAGAGTCGTGTAGCTGCCCCCAAACATAAATGCTTAGGGAAAATGTTTGAAATTTTTATTTCCCGAGCTAGGAGTAGGTTATCGTTGACTCTGTTTTGGCTGACTGTGCATAACATTTCAGGTTATGGCCTCATGTGGTATTTTTATTTGTTTGTTCTTATTCCTATAGACTCTGTGTTACAGACTGAAAGACTTGTGATGAGGCTATTTAAATGTATGATCGGTTTTCTGAGCAAAGGAGAAAATAGACCTGCTCTTCATCACTCCAGTTTATCATGCTCTGTGTTTTTACTGGTGAATTGACTTGGTAATTTAACACTTCTTGAAATACAAAGTGCTAGAGTATAATATAGGGAGACTAATACAAATTTGTTCAGTTCTGCTTTAGAGAAAAAAAAGAAAAAAAAATTAAAGGCAGCATCTTCCAGACAGCTCAGATCAGCTCTGCTTTTTAAGAGGTTGCTTTTGCAAGTCTGTAATTTCTGGTGTTAAGATGTTCCAAGCTGGTACAGCATTTCAGATGTCAGTGTTTGAATTGTAAATAATGTTTGGGACTGCTCAGCATGCTGTTATTCATGTACCTCCACAAACACACTCTGTAGCTGCGCATGGTGAAGTTCTTAGGAAAAGTGAAACTGTTGGCATAATCAAAATAGTTGTGTTAGCTAGTCAAATGGAGAGAAGTTCTTCTGTTCTATTTTTGCCAGAGTGCTTTTAAAGTTAAAAAAGCAGTAACTTCTGGAGATGTTTTTTAAGACCTGCTGAATAAGAGCATGCAATCTACAAGAAGCCAAATGCGTGATCTAGCGTATTTTGAATCTCAGCAGCAGTTAAGTGAGCACCAGGGCTATGCCCAGACATGAAGTTTTCAGACTAATGAGTGCCTTAGCAGGCAGGTGGATTTCTATTTGAGGCTGTTGTGTGTGTTTGAACTTCAGAACATTTAGTTCTTGCTACAACTGCAAACAGGAATTAAAACTCAAGTGTGAAATTAAATCTTTATGGCACCATTATTTGAATATAGACATGGATTTAACATTTGGATGAGACAGATTGTTGGGTTTTGGTTCAGAGTGATTCAGGCTCTTTTGTTAGTGATTGAGAGAACTGGAGCATTTTGAATTGTGTGCAGTGGAACAGTAAAATGATGAAATTGGGATCTGAAAGATGCATTGCGAAAGTTCGCAGTCAGCTTGCTCTGGCATAATATTTGCCATCGGTGTAGGGTTGAGATTAAACTACCTGTTCTGTTTAAACTCTGAAGCACTGAGCTTCATGTACCTGAAATTCAGTCTGGTTAAAACTGTGCTATTTTGTGAACTACAGAAGTGCAAAGGAAAAGTATACTGGAGGCTTGTTTCAGAAGTTAAACTGTGTGACAAAAATTACTTTTAAAGAGAGAAACGCCACCTCTAGAGTGTCTTGTAAAAACGGCTGTTTAAGAGCTAGTGGAGAGAGATAAATATATGGAAGGGCTTTAAAAGTTTTCCTAGTTGCACTGGTAAGCATAGGTATCAGCTGTTTTCTTGACATTAAACATCTTTTACAGTGATTTGAGTACATACAACATTTGAGATTTGTATTCCTGTCAGGGGCCGGAGATTGTTTCACTCATATTTGTCTGATGGGCCTTAATAGAGCTGCGTTTTGGGTTGGATTGTTCTGAGTTGTTTGGCTCGGGTTTTGTCATCTTTTTTTGCAAGTAAAGCATGTGATTGGGGGAAGAGCGAAACTCAAAGATTGAATTCTTCTATTTCCTATAGGTTCAGGTGCAAGTCCATCCTAAACTTTCCTCTACCGAAGATGCGTTGCAGTATGTGGAGGAGTTAATTCTTCAGTTGTTAAATATGTTGTGTCAAGCTCAACCAAGAAGTTTTCTGGATGTAGAGGTACAGAGAACACTTATTACAAATCTGTAATAATTTGAACTGTTACATGAAAGGTACTATATTAATCATTTCACAATGCAAAAGGAAAGCAGTAATTATGCATCTTGATGTAGCAGAACCTTCTGCATAAAGCCTGCTGAGTTCCCTAATAGCTGATTTTCCTATTAATTGAATTTGTTGTTCAATGCACAGTAAAACTATCTCTGAACCGTATTAGTGTTTAATAGACGATAAGTGTAAATTTTGTATATAAAGCTGACTGGTTCCTCTCAAAAGACCTTTTTTCCCCACTGATACTCTATGCAGACTACAACTGCTTACTCTGAGACTCTGTGCTGTTTTCTCAGCATGGCAATTTGGGCTGATATACCCCCTGCTGCCCTAGAAATTTGAACAAAAATAGTTCAGATACTTTTTCAGAATGAGTTTAAGAACACTTCTTTCCTCTGCATAGAGACCTCTTCTCTTACAATTGCCTTTTCAAAGATCTATAGCCTCTGTTGCTCAGAAAAGTAGCTTGATTTTAAGAGGAGATCTTGATCTGAGTTTTTCTGTCTGGGGAACAAATCACTGAAGCTTCCAAGACCAGGATATCTTGGTAGCTCTTTCTGCTTAACCATGATTTGAAGACTTTGGTGCCAGGCTACAGCTCCGCATGCTGTATGCCTGTTGGTTTCCAGTAATTGCTTCCAGGGCCTGTGCCAAGTGACTTCCTCATGTTCTGAAGAAAATGGACTGATGGCAAAAAAACCCTTGCAAACAAAAAATCCTTAGAGGTGTAACTATCTGAAAGCTCTCAAGAGTCATGAATTTTGTCCTTCCTCTTCTCTTTTGAACACCTCTAATGGTGTCCCAGTGTCCCCTATTGTGGCTGACCTGTTCTGCTACATCATTCTGGTCCGGCAGCAAAAGAGACAAGAGGTCTGTGGAAGATTGTTTAATGCTGTTTTAAACAATGCTAACAAAAAACTTGACGCAAAATGTTCTATTATGAATCTTAGGGCTGTGAAGATAGGAGAAATGCAAGGATTAGAGATGATCAAGCAACCACTCTTTACCCCATTTGTGCATTTGTGTTTATACACAGTGATGCTGTCTTTAATTATATGGTCAAACACATTCTTTGTTTCCCCTGGAACACCTTCATTGTTCAGTCAGCAGACTGGACTGTGTTAGGGGTGTGAATTGGTATTCACTTAGTAAATGAGACTTTTTTTGGTAGGGGGAGGACCTCTGCTTTCCTTTTGCCAAAATGTTATGAGGGGAGAAAAAGAAAACCCCTGCACTTTAGAAAGTTGGGTGTCACCTTTATAGAATTGTATTCTATCACATTTTTTGTCAGAAAGTTCTTGTTTGTGTACTTTGTCCTGTACCAGCTCTTTGTAAGTGGTCATTAACTTCATCTTCCTCATTTCACGGTTGCTCAAACAGGAGCCATATTTACGTAAGTGAGCACTTGCAACTGAAACAGTCAGTGGGAACTGTGGTCTGAAAAAGAAAATGTGGCGTTGTCTGAGAAAATAAATATCTGGCATCTGAATACCAGGGCCACCAAAAACAGTGAAGCTTTTGAACCCTCAGAGACCTGTGTGTGAGTTCCAGCAGGAGAGTTGTTCAATGCATGGGAGAATGTGGGTGTCCTCAGGCACTGACTGAGGACAGGAAAGGGTAAAAAGACCGGGGCATATATGGTCCACCTGTAGACTGAAACTGTTTTAGAATATGTGGGTGCTGTTGTATATTTTGTTTTTCCTGTTATGTTCGTTGTCACCATCAGAGCAGTTTGCATGTATACAGGATGGACCATGTGCTGATCACTAAAGGCAAAACAGAAATGTGCACAAGGCGAGCAAACTGTGCCGTCAGTGGCAGCTTAATTCTGGCATTTCTTAAATTTTGAGCACTAGATAATCCTCTGATATTCTGATACAGCCTTATGAATGTAGTGAGAAACCTTTTCCAAAATGATAAAATTTACACATTTTGTAAGCTTTTATAGTTGAAATGCAAACATTAGCAACCGTTCCTTTAAGTAATGGAAAGTAATTTGAGAATGTAGTAATATTGCTGAGCTCATTCAGATAGTGCATTTACCATTTAGTCGTGCTGTTGTGTTTTTTTTCAAGGATCGTGTTCAAAAAAGTTTTCCCCATCCTATTGATAAGTGGGCAATAGCTGATGCCCAGTCTGCTATTGAGAAGAGGAAACGAAGAAACCCATTATCTCTTCCAGTAGAAAAAATCCATCCCTTGTTAAAGGTAAGCAGTGATGTAACCTTGTTTTTAGGATGGAATTAGAAGTTGACACCTTTGTTTCATGTAATATCTGCATGCTGCCTGAAATGTAGACGAAAAGGATTAAGAATATTTCTGTTTGTTACACGGTTTTAAGCGTTCCAGTGATGTTAATGGAAAATATTTATTTTTCAGTTAAAAACCAGTTAATTCTCTTTTGGACAAAGCCAAGAACTCATTTGCTATAAGTTTCATTGTTCATTTTGTATGATTAAGAAAACACTCAAGAAACTTGTGGAAATAGCCCTAATGTTTAAATGAAATTTTTGTGACATTTAGTTGGCTGTTGACACTTCCACAGCTAGTAGAGCAGCATCTACAATGGCACTGTTTCTTCTCTAGGCCTACAGACTACTGTATTTCTGTTCTTAAAATAGGCTGTGGATGTGTGGTGTATCTTTAGTGAGTAGGTTTTAGTTGTAACCTGTGGTGTCTGTTTCATCAAATGAGTAAGAGTGGAATGCTTTTTTTTTTTTTTTCCTCTTTCAGGAAGTTCTAGGCTACAAAATTGACCACCAAGTGTCTGTTTACATAGTAGCAGTATTAGAATACATTTCTGCAGACATCTTAAAATTGGTTGGGAATTACGTGCGGAATATAAGACATTATGAGATTACAAAACAAGATATTAAAGTAGCAATGTGTGCTGATAAGGTAAGCCTAACCCTCATTTGTCATGTTAACAGAAAGTTGTAGTTGAATTTTGACAGGACGATGTCTATCCCTTACTGAGTAGGTGAAATGTTGTACCTTTGAAAGAAGAAATTAGTGACATAAAATGTGGTTCTTGCTGAAGTCAGAGGATTTTCCAATTTATCACCTCCTTTCAGTGGTTTTGTGTTTGTCTGTGTTAATATCTTTGGTTGAGATTATCTCTGCTTCAATGAATGCCTTTTTTTTTTTCTTCTTCTTCTTCCTACTTCACCTTTCTTTACTTTCCCTTAGGATACCTGGTGAGGTGTTAAAGAGTCAAATGCTTCTCAGTCAGTAGTCTTGGTCACTCTTGCTCTGGGGCATGTCTGCCGGGGGCAGTGTTTGAAGGTACATGTTTGAATATTGGTCATAGGATGCTGACAGGAACAAGTGCTGTCTCTGCATGCTTCTTGGTATCACAGGAAAGGTGGTGAGCAGAGGAGCTGTAACAAATATGATTTAGGAACTTCAATTATATTACACTGTAGGAACTCTGATATGTACTCAGAATAAACTTTTGAAAGGCTCCAAAGCAGGCCTGTTGGTGTACTGCCTGAGCAGAATAACCCAGTGAAAGGTACTGCTAAGGTGTTTTCCTTGAGTTGCATTGAGAAACTTCATAGTATATCATGGTCATACCAGTGATGTCTTTTGCTTGATTTTATTTTTTGAAAGAAAACAGCTGGAACAGTTTCTTGGCCCTGTTTGCCATCTTTTCCTCAAGCACTTTTGCACTTGCTTTTATGCCATCCATCCATCTGGAAAATTTTGTCTTGAATGCAAAAAAACCAAACTCTGTTAAAATGCAAGCCAGTTTTCTTCTACTGTGTGCTTGGGCTTCTGATTGCTCGGAGTTTAATATCTGGGATGTAGTTACTTTAAATTGTTTCTATGGATTTCATAATAGTGAGACATCATCTTGTGAATACAGCTTGGAATCTCCCAGCTGTGTGCTAGAACTGCATCTGTGGAATAAATCTGGAAATGTTAGGGCCTCCTTGAATACCTGCATTGTTCCATGTAATTTCCTACAGTAGTAATACTGTAATGTCCCATTCTCCAGAATTAGGAGTCTCTTCTTAACCTGAGTTCCGTGTACATTCACTGACTCTGAAATATGAACCACCTTCTGTTCTTAGAGCTTCAGAAGTCAGTCTCAGTGCAAAATGTCCATTGTTATGCTTTCAGAGAAGCTTAAGACCAGGGTGTTTCAGGGACTTTGACTCACTAGGAGAAAGAACCTGCTGTGTGTCCATTTCCCTCCTCACTAGACCTGTGTATTTTTGAGGAGTGTTAGTACAAGACACGGGTGAAGAATGACTTCTCCTAGGTAGGTGTTTCTTCCAGTATTCAAGTTTGATGAACCTGCCAGACCATCTCTTGAACTTACAGATCCCCAGGTATTCTCTTGCGTAATAGTTCATTGGTCTGAGACTGGTGATCAACAGCTTGGTTAACTGACATCCTCTGGAGAAATGCCTGTGACATGCTTGATGTTAAAAAAATTGTTGATAGTATAATTAGTTAAATAACATTTCTTAAGAAAGACGACTTTTACTGTAAATACCAGGCTAAATGTCATTGTGGCTCATTCAGAACTTTAATTCTTGATCTCCAGTTTTACAATTATTTTGAAAAAACACTTTTCCATTCTGTTTTCTTCCACTTTAAAGCTCTAGTTCATGTTTAATGTGTTAGCATTCCCTCCTGTGGCTCTCCCGAGGAGTGTTTACAGCTTTGATCCTTCACTCTTTTCCTCAGTTTTTCAGTGATTGACATCAGTCGTGTCAGTAACAGGCGCAGGTTGCCATGGCTTCACCTCCATCTGTTTGGAATGGAGACTGGCAAGCAGTAAATGAAGTTCTCATTTATTTTAAACTCCACATACATTGTTTGATAAATTTCATGACTTCTTGGAAAGAGTATAGCGCTGGGCAGCAGATTTGTTCATAAATACTGTCCCATCTGTCTATCCCAGGATAAAGCCATCTTTTATGTTGAACTGTATCTTAGGCTGGCTTCTTGTTATTTGCTACATCATTGTGGGTTGCTTGTGGACCCTCTTTAGGTTTTCTATCTGCTAAAGGTACTTCAAATAAGGATGCCTTTTACTAATTTGCAGTCAATTTACTTATTTTATCCTTAAGATATTCTAAGATTACGATGAGTGTAATGAAAACAACCCAGAGTGTGATATCTGCTTGCCACTTGCTGCATCATTGTAATGACTCCTGGCTGAGACACCATATTTGGAAGAAGTGTTCAGTGATCCACTTTTGTTGAGAAGTTTAAATTATGATTTGCTTGTGTTTGGTAAGCCTTAGTTGGTTATGAATTGGGACCTCTGGTAGTCAGAGTTTTTAGAGGTCCTTTTGTCTATGTAGTTCTGCAATGTGACTGCTTTGTGAAGTGGGTGCCCTTCCCCAAGGGTTCATTTTAACAAGAGAACTCAGCAGATAAGGACAGAAACTGGGCCATGTACAGTCTGTGAACAGGCCAGTGTTCTTTGTGGGGAGATCACAGGATTCTGAGCATGATCACGTGTGATATCACGTGTGACTTCCTGTTAAAGCTAAAACTGCAAAGCCAGAATGTACACACCTTTTGACTTCAGATAGTGTAGCATCTTCAGAAACTTAGATTGTGCATGGCTGATTCAGAGTAATACAATACAGCTGAATGCTAATTGTCTTTGTGTACTTCACAGACCTTTCAAAATTGTAATTGATTTTAGAACCACGTTCTTGGAGAGATGCCTGGATTGGTCTAAATAACTGGGAATCTTCAGAGATTGCCACTGCACATAATGACTTGCAAATTCATGGCAATAGATATTGCTTCTGTAGTGCTCAACTGATTGCAGAGTGATAATACATAAGTCTTACTGCTAATCAGTCTGATTTCATGGGAATAATAGGTTTTCTTCATTGGTAATGTACTGGTCAGTCTTGAAAAGAGGTTCTGACTTCGTGGATTTCCCTCTCTTTGCTACCTAGGTATTAATGGATATGTTCCATCAAGATGTAGAAGATTTAAGTGCACTAACTTTATCTGATGAAGAACCCTCCACCTCAGGGGAGCAAACCTATTATGACCTAGTGAAGTCATTTATGGCAGAAGTTCGACAATACATAAGGGAACTAAACCTCATTATCAGAGTTTTTAGAGAGCCATATGCCTCCAACTCCAAACTATTTTCATCTCATGTAAGTACTGTGCAAACCACAAACAAAAAAAGCACCTACTACAATATCTGTAAATGTAGATGAATACTTCTGAAATTCAACTGTTGTCCAGTTTAACATATCAGTAGTAGAGAAAGCATTTGTCTTGAGTTCTGAAACGGAAATAATAAAAGAGCACTTGTGGGGAAGTATGGGTTTTGTAGGACTGTGGAAGAAAACTCTCAATTTGCTATATTCACTTACAGGCTTGTAATTTTAAGATTTGTCACTGTTCTTTGCCACATTTGAAGAACTGTAAATTTTTACATATTTATAGATATTCATTATTTTAAAAATACATTTAATCATCTTATATAAATTGTAGAAAAGGTATGTTATAAAGTAATTGTAGAATCTTGTTCTGTTTAGGAAAGTTCTTGACTTCCACATCATAACAGAGTAGCCTTGCACATTTGATTTTTGTCTTGTTCTGTTGCTTTTTGCAGGATGTGGAAAATATATTTAGTCGTATATCAGACATTCATGAGCTTAGTGTGAAGTTATTGGGTCATATAGAAGACACTGTTGAAATGACAGATGAAGGTAGTCCTCACCCACTAGTAGGCAGCTGTTTTGAAGACATGGCAGAGGTAAGAAAAAATACTTACTTGGTTTGGGGTTTTTTTGCTATTCATATGTATTTTAATACTTGCAATTAGATGTAAAGTGCATGTCTGTTCTAGCTGCCTTTGTTGAGTTTGAGGTCTCTTCTTCCAGCCTCACAATAATGAAGGAAGTAGCCATTTTTGAGTGCTCTTACCTTTTTAGTCTCTAAACCTCAGCTTTTAGAGTGGCTGTTTAAACTTTCAAGAGCACAGGTGGAAAAAATTGAACAAAAATCCTGTGACTAGACTTTGACAGAAATGGAAGTGTCCTGTAAATCATCTGTAGATCAAGATTGCTGTGGAAGGACAAAGGGCTGCTTTGCCTAACAAAATATCAGCTCAAGTATGGGGAGCTCTGGTATGGAATAAATGAGCTGGATGAATGCTTAAGGATCAGAATCAGAGGAGGATGCTACCAAAGGACGTGCTGTGGTCAAGCTTCTCCTGCAAAGTCTGCCCAATTGACAAGTGGCACAACCCTTTTCTGAACAAGTAGGAGTCATCTCTTTATCACAGGCTCTAGCTTTCTTGGGAGAGAGGCAGTGTGTTCAGAACACATGGAATATGCATTCGCAGCCTCTGAGAAAAGAGGGTTGGTCTGCAAGGACATGCATAGTTCCTTGTTTATTGGAACTTGGGCTCCTCACTACAGGAAAGATCCAGAGGTGCTGGAGTGTGTCCAAAGAAGAGGAACAAAGCTGGTGGAGTGTCTAGAGAATGTGTCCTGTGCGGAGCAGCTGAGGGAGCTGGGGTTGTTTAGCCCAGACAGAAGGAGGCCAAGGGCGGACCTTATCACTCTTTACAGATACCTGAAAGGAGGTTGTAAAAAAATGAGTATTGGTCTCCTCTCCCAGGTAGCAAGTAATAGGACAAGAGGAAATGGCCTCAAGTGAGTTTTGGAGATAGTGTTATGCCCAATCTCAAAAACACTGTTGAGGAGGTTCCTGTAAACTAGAGGCTGGTCAGTCTTTCTTCAGTCCCTCAGAGGATTAGCAAATCTTTTTGGAATTCACACCCAGCCATGTGAAGGACTAGAAGGTGGCTGGCAGCAGCCAGCACAGATTTCCAAAGGACAAAGTGTACCTGACCGTTTTGACCACTTTCAAAGAGATGGCTGTTTCCATGGACAGAGGAAGAGCAGTTAATATCTCTTATCTGGACTTAAACAAGGCCTTCAGCGCAGTCTGTCGTAGTATCCTTATAGTCAGCTTGGTGAGATGCAGCCTACCTAGTTCAGTTATAGAGCATGTGGGAAATGGGCTGCACTGTCAGGCTTTCGAAGGACTGTTACCAGTGGTACAAAGGCCACCTGGAGGCCCATGGTTAGTGGCATTCCTCAGGGTTTGATACTGTTTAATGTCCAGATTCGTGTTGTGGAAGGAGGTCTGCTTCGTCTAGTTGATAGGCAACGCCAAATTGTGGGGAGACGCACAGGAGGACAGGGGTACTTCTTAGGGGACCTGACAGGCTGGAGAAATGGACCTATGGGAACCCCACAGAGTTGAGTAAAGACAAAATGAAATTGTGCACTTGGGACCAAACAACCCCGTGCGACGTTTCAGCTGCCTGGCTGAGGAGCAGTACTGTGTGATAGGGCTGGGAGATCCTCAGGAATTGTCTGTGAAGACTCCTTACCTACTGAGTTATATAGGGAATGTGTAGCTGGCATGCTGAGGGAACATTTCTGTGTAGGACTTGAGACCACATCTGGTATACTGTGTCCAGTTTTGGGCTTCCTGGTACGAGATGTGCTTATACTTGAAGGTTGCCATGATGGTTAAGGAACTGAGGCCCGTGATGCCCAAAAAGAGTTGAGATTGCTAGGTTTATTTATTCTTGAGAAGTCTGAAGGAGATCTTACTATTGTTTTCAGTTAGGCGAAGGGAAGGTGTGAGGACAACAGAGGCAGGCTCTTACTGAGGCTTCACAGTTGAGAGCTGTGAGATAAGTGAGAGAGCACACAAATGGTAAAAAGATTAATCCTGATGAGATGCTGGGGGGGAAGAAATCTGCAACTCGCACAATTTAACATTGGAGTAGGCTGCCCAGAGAGGTTTTGGTGCCTCTCTACTTGGAGTTGATCAGAACTCAATTGGATGAGACCCTGAGAATCCTCAGCTAGCTTTGATGGTGGATTTATCTTTGGCCCTGTGGTAGGCCCTGCTTTGAACCGGGAATTGGATCAGTTGACTTCCAGAGATCTCTTTTAGACTGATTTACTCCGTGAGTCTGTGCATGTAAAAGTTTGTTCTTCTCTACGGGTGTTTTGGAAAAGTCTATGTAGCATATGTATCTTCTTTAAGAAATATGGAAGTTTAGCTTTTATGTCAGTTTTGTAAACTGATGGTTTTCCTGCCAGTGGCAGGGGGTTGGAACTACGTGATTTTTAACGTCCCTTCCAACCCAAGCCGTTTTCTGATTCTATGGTTGTAAAATTATTCTGTATCTCTTCTTAGGAACTAGCATTTGATCCATATGAATCGTATGCACAAGATATTTTGCGACCTGGGTTTCATGATCATTTTCTAAGTCAACTATCAAAGCCAGGAGCAGCATTTTATTTACAGGTAACTTGCCTTTAAGTAAGACATATTATTGATATTACTATTTTAATTACATTGCATTGTTGCTTCAGTGCATTTATTATTTTAAGACTGAAACTTATTTTGTTTCTAGTCAATAGGTGAAGGCTTTAAAGAAGCTGTCCAGTATGTTCTACCCCGGCTGCTCCTTGCCCCTGTTTACCACTGTCTCCATTATTTTGAACTGCTAAAAGTAAGAATGTTGTGTCAATCTGATGTGTTTGTTTTTGTGTTTTGGTTTTTTGATAATTCTCAGTGTTAGGTACCAGAGCTTTGCGTGCTCAGTTAGGGGTAAAATCTTTTGCTAGAATGTCAGTAATGAAACTGCTGTGTTGAAAGAAAAGCAGGTTATGTGCTCTGCAGGTGCGTGCTGTAATTAACTGAATATCAGCTTGTAATTCCGTGGAATTTTACAGCAGCTAGTGATTTCTGTCAAGGAATCAAGCTACTATTAATTTAGAAAGCAATAGAGATCTAGATACTCATATTTTTGGAATGATAGTTGCAACAGTGTTAAGAGATAATGGCAAATGGCTGTATTATAGAAGATGTCCAAGGCTTTCTCAAGCTGTTACTTTGTAAATTTAAGATCACAGCAAGAGTTCCCTTCAGACTTCATTTTGTTTTAATAAAAGCTTCAGTGTTCTTGCAGTGCACATCCCACTTTTCTTCAAAGGGAAGGCTTGGTTTGATATATGTACTACTTGGGGTTTTTGTAATGAGACTCCCATCGATAAGGCAACAGGAGCATATACCTGTAAGGCAAATAGCTACAGATTGTTTTTCTGGGGCATTTGTCAGTGTTGAATAATGAACTTCGAGGAGTGTAAAGCATTCTGAGGAAAACTTTCAAGCAGAATCTTCATTTGAACTTGATGGAAACTCATAAGGCACACAGTATTCTAAACAAATACATAGGCAAATTTGGATCAGAAGTTTAAAAAAAAAAAAAAAAGAAGAAAAAAGAAATCTCTGCTGTTCTGAAGAAATCTGTATCTGTTTCCTTGAATGTTTGTTTGGTTGTCTTTGAACAACCCAGTACTTAGGTCCTCTTTGAGTCTAAGTGTCTATAGTTTTAACACCATTTTTACTGATTTAGGTCTACATGGCATCTTTGGCACATAGCTCATCTTGTATAGCATGCTTTTTGAAAAAATTTGGGATGCATGCCTGATCTGTTTGTTTAGTTCATGGGTTGGGTCTGACTTTTCAGACATCTTTGAAATATAAAGCATTTTCTTCAATCCATTGGAAGGGAGGTATGATACAGCTTGTTTGCAATCTGTAGATAAAACATGAAGGATTAATGTCATCTGACACACAGGTATCCTATGTTGCTTCTTCCATTGCCAATTTTAAGAGGGGAAGGAGAGCATGTGTACTTACGTAATGGGGAGCAGCTTGTGTTCGCCTTTGTTAGGGCAAACTGGAGTCTAAGCTAAGGCCACCTCCAGAAGGTGATTGTGACCCGTGAGCTGTAAAATTCTTGTCTTTTCACGTTCGTGCTCTACCCACACCCCCTCCACTCTGTGTCAATCTGATACTGTTGGGCTGGATTTTATTCTGTATATGATAACCTTCCAGGTTCTCTTCCCACCACGTTGCTCATCTCACATTTTAGTGAGACGCCTGTCAGCGTGGTCTGTGAGTGGCCGATACACGTCATAGGCAGTGATGGATAATAGGTGCACACGAAGAGGAAGATATTACCTCTCATGGCATTATCTTCAGCATGTGAATCCCTCCCTCAAGTAGTCTCTGCTAGCAATAACATTTTCTTCCCTGTATCTGGAATCTTTAAACAGTCAGCATTTTTCTTTGAGCTGTGTTGTGGAATGTTATGTACTTCGAAGTATCTAAAATGCATTTCAGTTACCTTCTAACTATGCAAATTTGAAAAAAAAAAAGTAAATTTCTATTCACTAATAGTTATCTAAATGGCTATCTCTAAAGCCCTCCTGAAGTTGGGCAGGGCACCAGGAATGCACAAATAAATATTCTGGTTTTAGCTAAAACTGCATTGTTGGAAAGTTAGCATAGGACTAAGGGCTGTGTTTTCCTTCAACCTGTTATAAGTAAATGAAATTAGGCTAAAATATAACAATAAAAATTTATTTAAGATTTATGAAAAATGCAAATAAGCAAAACAGCTCGCTGGGCGCCCAGGGAGGCCTCTGCTCCACTCACGGCATGCAAGTGCAGTAAACAAAACCAGTAACTTTTATTCCCTTATCAGTTCCCCTCCCGTAGTCACTTGTTATCCTTCTATTGGATCCGAGTTTGCAGGTCTGGTTCTGGTTGGCTTCCCTGCAGGCCCGTTTCAGTTGCCAGGTGCTTTCCTTTCCATAGTTTTAATTAGTCCTTGCTTAGTGTGTAGGTATTTCCAGATGTCCATCTTGGATACTCTGTATCACTCGTTCTTGATCCTTTGATCCTTGTCCTTCCCTTCGTTACTTTATGCGTGTGCTATGAGACGATAAGCTTTTTAGAAAAGTAAGATACAAAATACTTATTCAACCAGGCACAATAGTTTGTCTTTCCAACTTAAGAACTGCAAGCTACATGACTATCAGCTTACAATGCTGACAGATTAATGAATCATTCTGCAACTTACAGTCTCCCGACCTTAAGAGAATATTGATTATAATAACATATATATGTATATAAGACTATAACATGCAATACAATTTAATGAGTAAATAACTACTACTAATTTGATGAGTAAATTTAAACTACTACTACTAATTTATTACAAACCAACATGAGAAGTCCTCAAAGTTTTATATAGTAAATTAACTATGTAAAATAGCAGTTTCATTTGAGACTGCACTTTTCTGTAAATTTTCAGATAATATGAATGGACTTTTCAGAATCATAAAATCATAGAATTCTGCGAATAGAAGTGTGGACTCTTAAGTGAAAGGTGGAGTGGTACAAACAGTGCAGTTATTTATGACCTTGAGTAATTGAAGAAAGAAGTTTACAGTACCTTTAAGTTGAATTTGGCACTGTTTTGAATGCAGTAAGTTCGTATGTATGTATGTATGATACTCTTTCATTTCACTGGATAAATAGAAGATTACTTTAAAATTCTTAGTTTTCCAAGTAGGAATGCTGCAAAGCATATATAAACTTTGCTTAGATGAAACAGTATGTTCTTGAGAAATAGGAGAGCTTCAAAAGTTAAGGTTTTTTTTAAACCAAATGCAGCCTTGACTCCCATGACTCATGAATTGGTAACCTGTTGTCTCTTTGATATTATTTTTTAGTTGGAGTTCTACCTATGATGATCTAAAAATCTCAGGATGCTTTCATTTCACACCAGAGTCTAGTGTGGGTTTGGGGTTTTTTTCAGACTTTGTTCTTAGATGAAAAATAACTTGCCAGTCTTTTTACTGATGGTATTAAATTTGTTACATGTTGCTGAAGAAGGCCTAAGGTGGTAAAACGTTAGTAGTTTAGGACTGGGGTATCTTTAGTTGAATCCCTTAATTTTCTTGCTGTGTGTGGGGGTGGTGGGCAACACATCCCACACTATTTTGGGTTTTGACTTCACTTTCATTCTCAGCCTTGTTTGAGCCAGTGTCATGTTCCAGGGTGTAATAAATTTAATGAATTTGGTTTGCAGTCACATCTGTAAGTGGTGTAACCCAACCCAGGGTGGAGAATCACAGAGTCTTAATTAGCTGAACTTTGGCAGTCTGCAAAGCTTTTACAGTATCTGCAATTATAGATCATTGTCCCAAAATACTGTCTGAATTGCTTGCCTTTAGTACAGACACTGAGATTAACAGGTTCTCTTGCTTTAAACAATTCTTAAAGAATCCTTCAATTACTATTAAAACCAAAAAATCACAAATTTTAACTAGCTGTGAATTATTTAAGACAAGTATTCACTTAGTGTCAGCAAAAGATTTTACTTTCTGAAGTCACTTTGGATTCAGTGCTTATTTCCAAGCACAGTAACTTGTATGCACAATACAGGTTTGAAATAAATAAAAATCAGAAGTATTACTGTTTTACATAATTTATATGTGTAACTTCAGATGTGGATGATGTATCATATCCAGTGGAGATAACGTGCAATTCTAGGTCTCTGTGACAGATGGAGGACTGTCTGTTGGATGGAGTGTAGCTTGACCAAACTGTTGCTAGTGTGTGATAAGGACGACACAGAGTATTTGGGTGTTTTCTGGGAGAAAAAACTGGTGTGGTGTAAAATTTGGTCTGAAGTCTAAGAAGAGGTTTCCTGGAGTATGACAGTAGGTGAAAAATTTAAGAAACTTCTTCATATGGTTAAACTAAGAAGACTTGTATTACAGTGGGAATGTAGTAAAGGTTCAGAAGTTGTGTCTTATGGTAGAAGTTGGAGGTGGTACAGCCAGGGAAATGAGGTCAGCATTCATTGACAATATTTGTATTTCTTTTCTGCTTTAAATGCTAGTGGGTTTATTCTTTAAGTCAGTGTTTGTCAGCCACAGGGGAAGTTGATTGGGGAAAATAAAACTTTGTCATGTGGGGGGGCACGTGTGCACACTTTTCCCAGAAACACAGTTAATGTCAATCTAACTAATTGGTCTCTCTGATGTAGCTCATTAATTTTTCTATGTGTTTGTGTCAGATAAATATATGCACATGTGTATCACTTCATTTTCAGTGATTTATGTCATTTGTTATGGAGTTGTAATGGGGCTGTATGTTTTACTTTATAGCTCTTTTCCCTTATGCAAGGATGTATTTGGGTTTTTGAGATGCAGATGTCTCTTTCTAGGAAATTTTCTAATGAGAAAAACTACTTGAGGGAATGTTTTTTTCTATTATCCCCCTAAAGTTGCCTTTCTGCAAAAACTGGATAAAATCTACCAGAAGTAAAAAAATTCCTCCTGACTTTGCTTGCAGTCCTCAGTGACACTTGAGCTGTGTTACTATCAATCTGCTGCCACACCAACAAAATCTGTACTTTGGTCCCTTGAAGCAGGGAGTAGGGTATCACAGGGCCAGACTTCTTAATCTGGATGGTGCTGTCTGTGGAAAGTCAAATGAAGCACTGACTGAATTCCAACTTACGACTTCACTCGTGTTCAACTCTAGGGTTCCAAAGTCCCGTTTTCCAGTCAGTTTTCTAGAAATACCTGCATGGCAAAGTGTCCATGGTACAGTGGGAGTTAGAAGAGCTGTGTTGTAACTGACTGT